AAAACCTCAGTATGGAGGTGACCTATGTTTTCCAAGGTTGTGCCAATGGGAGTAAGCTCTGTCAGCTTCTCCCAAGCCAAAAAGGCTTTGTTTACCAGCATCAGGCAACTACAACTACAAATAATTCCAGAGTGAAGCGGCTGGACGAAAACCAAAACACTGGATGTATCTGGTGACGAAAGGAAAGTCCAATGTTATAAAGATCAATATTGCATAGGAACGTGGAATGTAAGATCTGTAAACCAAGGTAAGGTAGATATGGTCAAACAAGAGATGGAGAGATTAAACATCAACATCTTGGATGTGAACTTAAATGGGTGGGAATGGGTGAATTTAATTCAGATGATCGTTACATCTACTACTATGGGCAAGAATCCCTTAGAAGAAATGGAGTAGCCTTCATAGCAATAAAAGGGTGAGAAAAGTGGTACCAGGGTGTAATCTCAAAAATGATGGAATGATATCTGTTTGAATCCAAAGCAAACTATTCAACATAACACTAATACAAGTCTATGCTCCAACCAATGATGCCAAAGAGGCCAAATTTGCTTATTTCTATGAAGAACTACAACACCTTCTAGAAATAACACCAAAAAAAGTTGTCACATTTGTTATAGGAAATTGGAATGCTAAAGTAGGCAATCAAAAGATAATTAGAATAACAGTCAAGTTTGACCTTAGAGTACACACTGAAACAGGGCAGAGACTGATATAGTTTTGTCAGGATAACTTGCTGGTCATAGGAAACACTCTTTTTCAGCAGCCCAAAAGGTGACTCTTCATGTAGACAATTACCAGATGGTCAGTATTAAAATCAGACTGATTATATCCTTTGCAACCAAAGGTGGAGGAGCTTTGTACAGTCTCGGTTAGAACAAGACCTGGAGCTGACTTGTGGTTCTGATCATGAGTTTCTTATTGCAAATTTTAGGCTTAAATTGAAGAAAGAAGGAGAAATCATCAGACCATGTAGGTATGACTTAAGATCCGTTATGAATATGAAGTGGAAGTGATGAAACTATTTAAGGGATTAGATCTGACAGAGTGTCTGAAGAACTGTGGGCAGAGGTTTACAATATTGTACAGGAGGCAGCAACAAAAAACATCCCGAAGAAAAACAAGAGCAAGAAAGAAAAATGGCTGTCTGATGAGACTTTACAAATAGCCAAGGAAAGAAGGGAAGAGAAAGGCAAAGGAGGAAAGGAAAGATGTACCCAACTGAATGCAGAATGCTGGAAAATAGCAAGGAGAGAAAAAGTTTTCTTAAATGAGCAATGCAAAGAAATAGAAGAAAACAATAGAATAGGAAAGATGAGATCTCTTCAAGAAGACTAGAGATATCAAGGAAATGTTTCATGCAAAAATTGGCATGATAAAAGACAAAAATGGTAGGGACTTAGCAGAAGTATAAGAGATTAAGAAGAGGTAGCAAGAATATACAGAAGAACTATACAAGAAAGATTTTAACATCACTGATAAGGAAGCATTGTTAACAATAAGGTTAATGTAGGTGATGGAGTACCAATTGAGCTGTTTAAAATCCTAAAAAATGATGCCATTAAAGCATTAAATTCAGAATGCCAGCAAATTTGGAAAACTCAACTGTGTTTAGTGGATTGGAAAAGGTCAAGATTACGTTGGAATCTTAAAGAAGGGCAATACCAAAGAATGTTCAAACTATCAAATGGTTGCACTCGTTTTACACGCCAGCAAAGTTATGCTTAAGATTCTGCAAGTTGGGCTTCAGCAATATGTGAATCAAGAATTACTGGAGGAGCAGACTGGTTATCAAATTGCCAACTTTTGCTGAATAGTATAGAAAGCAAGGGAGTTCCATAAAAACAACTAGTTCTGCTTCATTGACTACTCTAAAGCCTCTACATCCTCTAAAGTATGGATGACAACAAATTGTGATAAGAGGTGCGGTTTACTTGTTTACTGAAGAACCCATATGTGAGTCAAGAAACAACAGTTAGAACTGAACATGGAACAACTGATTGGTTCAAGATTGGGAAAGGAATACAACAAGGCTGTATATTGTCACCTTAATTATTTAACTTATATGCAGGGTCCATTGTGCAAAGTTACAAGCTGGACAAATCAAAAGCTGGAATTAAGATTGCTGGGAGAAATATAACAATCTCAGATATGGAGATGATACATACAGCTTTGATAGCAGAAAGTAAAGAATTAAGAAGCTTCTTGCTGAGGGTGAAATAGGAGAGTGTGAAAGCTAGTTTGAAGTTTAACATTTAAAAAAAAAACTAAAATCATGGCAACTGGTGGTCCCAGCACTTCTGGCAAATAGAGGGAGAATAAATAGAAACAGTGTCAGATTTTATGTTCTTGGACTCAGAGATCACTGCAGATGATGTCTGCAGCCATGAAATTAAAAGATACTTGTTCCTTGGAAAGAAAACTATGACAAATCTGAACAGCATACTAAAAAGGCAGAGACATCACCTTGCCAACAAAAGTCCATTTTGTCAAAGCTGTGATTTTTCCAGTGATAGTGTAAGGCTATGAGAGTTGGACTATAAGGAAAGCTGAGTGCTGCAGAATTGATGCTTTCAAATTGTGGTACTGGAAGACTTTTAAGAGTCCCTTGGACAGCAAGGAGATTAAGTCAGTCAGTATTTAAAGAAATTAACTCAGACTGTTCATTGGAAGGACAAATACAGAAGCTGAAGCTTAAATACTTTGACCACCTAATACAGGACTCACTGGAAAAGACCTTGATGTTGAGAAAGATTGAAGGCAAAAGGAGAAGGGGATGGCAGAGGATGAGATGGATGGATAGTGTCATGGAAACAATGAACTTGAACATGACCAGACTTTGGGAGAGAGTGGAAGACAGAAGGACTTGGTGTGCTATGGTTGCTGAACAACAATAGCAGCCAGCTGTGGGCTGTATTCCTGTGCTCTCAAAGCCATCCCAACCATGTTTGAAAACATTTTCAGCCATGGCCGCCTCTCTGTGGCAGTCTTTCCATCATATAGAAGGGCTATGATCTTCACCGATGGAGGAGATACACTCACTCCTAAAATTGTGGGTCCTTGAAGTATAAATAGTATAGACATGTTACCACAGCTGACCCCAGCTCACCTTTCCAGTTTTAGTCTACCTTACTCCCCCTTTCCTCTTGCTCTACTCCAGCCAAACTGGTTTTCTTGCTATTTCTCACACATATAATACTCCTCTCTTCCATCTTTGTGCCTGTGCATTGCTCTGTATACTTGTAATGTACTTCCTCCTCACCCCTGCACCCTAGAATTCTTTGTTTCTTTAAGAGTTTAGCTCAAATGCAAACTTCTGTATGAAAACTTTACTGATTACTCATTTCTAGCACTTTCCTCCCCCCCCATTACTTTGAATTTGTATATACGTCTTATCTCCCCAATAAAATCTAACTTCCTGGAGGGCAGGGACTTACAATTTTGTCTTTGTATCCTCAGCAAACTAGCCCAATTCCTTGCACATGGTAGGTGCTTAATAAATGTTTACTGATTGATTTATTAATTGATCATTGAAGATGATATATGTCACCACTGACATAGAATGGTTTAGCCTATTTCTTTCTCTAGGCATAGTTAAAGGTAAAACTAGAAGGAACCACAGAGACCATGTAGTACAAACCCTTTCATTTTACTGTTGAGGAAACGAAGGCCTAGCCGGTGAAGCAATATTCTCTAAGGTCACACATGTAGTATTTGAGACAAGATTTGAATCCCAGTCTTCCATTTTCCCATTCTTTTCAGTGTACCAAGCTGCCTTCCCCAATTGTCCAGGCTCTCAAGTGTGTACCAGGTTTATGTTAAACACTTACTGTATTCCAGGCACTGTGCTGAGTGCTGGGAATGCAGATACAAGCAGAAAGAAAGGCCTGCCCTCAAGGATACTTTGTAATGGGGGTAAAGAACACGTAAAAGGGAGCTGAAAAGCAAGGGAAAAGAAGAAGGAAGGCACCCATACACAGATGTAGTACTGAAGTCCAGAAAGTCAGAGTCATGTCCAGGAGGAGAAGGAAGTTTAACTGGTCTGGGACTCTCCCCAAAATGGAGACCCAGGAGGAACATGCCAGTGGGAGAAAGGGGCTGGCCTGATAGCATATTCCAGGATAAGAAGGATGGGGGAGTAGATAGATTTTTCCAGGGTAAGGAAACCCCAGACAGGATGGGAGTTACAGGATGAGAATGAGGCTGAGATATAGTCAGAAACTTAACTGGGCTGCCACTCTTTAAAAAATGTACGGAACAAGAGTCCAAACTGAACATACAACTGTCACAGAACTAGAAATAAATTATCACAAGGGAGAGGAGAGGAGAGAAAGTAGGATCCTGGAGAGGGGAAAAAAGTTCAAATTTTTTAAAATGACCAGAATGTTTTCATTCTTATTAAGTTAAGGCTACTTTAATTAAGTAGTTATATATTTAAAAAAGGATAAGAGTAGCTAGGTGGTACAGTGGATAGAGCACATGCCCTGGAGTCAGGAGGACCTGAGTTCAAATGTGGCCTCAGACACATAACACTTACTAGCTGTGTGACTCTGGGCAAGTCACTTGACCCCAATTGCCTCACCCCCCCCCCAAAAAAAAGATATAGGAAGTTAATAAATGGAAATGTCTTGTGGAATTAATGAACTAGTCATTACACAGTATTAGAATCTTATAAATTGGTCATTCATAAATGTCTCTGTTTCTGTAACCGTTTTCTTTAGATTACTGTGGTAGTGTTTTTTGTCTTGAAGGGCAATTGTAGTTTGAGCTTCCTTGTTAACTTAAATTGTTTTAATTTCCCGAAGTTAATTATTTGTTTATTGCTCTATTAGCAGCATTGAGTTGCATATTAGAAAATTCAGCCATCTCTCCTTTTTTAATAAGACAAGGACTTTTAATAAAACCTTGTGGAGCATAGCACACAAAAAGTAAATGTAATTCTTTGTTCTTTGCTTTGTATACAGTGTATTGGTAATCTTCCCTATGTTGCTGTCATATTTCAGGCCTATTATTACTCCGCCATCATTGAGGATGTGATACTGCGCTTTTCTTGGACTATCCGAGTCTATGTCATCACCCTGAATCTTAACCCTCATGTTGGGGAGATCATCTCTACTGTATTTGCTCCCCTTGAGGTTTTTCGGTAAGTGAATGAACTGAAATTTTTCTTTTATATTTATTTTAACCAGGGAAGAGAGAGAATTTTTTATTTTTTATAAATCAATCAGAAAATCACTAATTCAAGAAACATGAACTGGCTGATTCTAAGAATATGCCTTTAAGTCAGAACCTGCATTTCCAGCTCACGCTGATGCAGAGGTAATTGTGTTAAGACAAATAAAGACAAATAGAGACTTGACCCATAATTTAATTGGTATAGGGAACTCCCAGGTGATGAAACTCCTTCTACCAGAGTAGATGAGCATCCTCACTACAACTTGAGTCTCAGAGACTTTTCAGTATCTGCCCAGGATTACAGAGCCTCCCAGTGCCCACGTCGGGCCTTGAACGCAGCCAGGGCTTTCTGGCTTTAGTGTTGGCTCTGTTCACTCTCCCCAGCTGCCATGAAGTAACCAAGTAGGGCTGAACCCCTGAAGCTTCAGTCAGACTTCCCAGGCTTGGAACAGGGAAAAGAACAAAAGCTTCTTCTTTGGTTTCCTTCTTTTTTAAAAAACAGTAACTCTTTTTTAACATAAATTACCTTTTGTATTTCTGAAAAGCAAGATATTAGTAATGATGACAGAAAGTTGTTTTTGACGAGTGATAGCCTAATAACATGCTGACCTAAAACAACCCAAGATGTCACATTATTTATATATGAAGGTCAGCAATATAAGTAAGGGATTCCTGCCTTCTTTGATTCACACTGACTCTGTTTTTTTCTCTTCTGTAGCACATTAATTGCAAGAGATATTCCAAACCTCAACTTTGTTGCTTCCCACATTATTTTGAGCAGATGAACCTGCCTCCTACTTTATATCAGAAAGATGGAGCTAATGAGAGTCCCTTCATTTCCCTCCCTTATTCCTCTAAAGTTCTCAGTGCACTCAGTAATCCTTAATTTCTCTTCACTAGTTTCAGAATGATATGGCCCTCCTCTCTCCCAGAACAGTCCCTCTCCACCTTTGATCTCCCAAGCCATCCCTCTTGACTTTGTTTCATAAAACATCCCTTCTCAATCATCTCTTTCTCTTGCCTCCTCAGACACGTTCTTATGTCTCGTCCTTCAAAAAACCTTCCCTCAACCTCGTTACTGTCCCAAGTTATTGTCCTCTCTTCTCTCTTAATGATGAATTTTTAAAAAGAATAGTCTACACTCTGCTGTTACTTTTTCACTACCTACTTATTCTTCAATCTTTTTCTATCTGTCTTTGTTCCTCACTGTTCCATAATGATAACTGGCAATAATAGAGCACTTTGAAGTTTGCAAAGCGCTTAGGGTATCTCGTTTGCAACCTTTAGGTATGGTTACTGCAGGTATTAATATACCCCTTTTACAGTGGAGGAGACTAAGGCTCACAGGACTTTCAAGTTATTTGGTCATGTTGTTCATTCGTTTAAGTCGATTCCAAGTCTTCATAACCCCATTTGGAGTTTTCTTGGCAGAGATACAGGAGTGGTTTGCCATTTCCTTCTCCAGTTCATTTTATAGATGAGGAAACTGAGGCAGACAGGGTGAAGTGACTTGCCCAGGGTCACATAGCTAGGAAGTGTCTGAGAGCAAATTTCAACTCAGGTCTTCCTGACTCTAGGCCCAGCACTCTCTCTACTGCGCCATTTCGCTGCCCACCTGGGGTCATACAACTGGTAAATTATGAGAGACAGTATTGAACTCCTACTCTTATCTCTTGCAGATTCTGTAATCTATTGGTCTATCCATATACCATGTGGTCACTTTGCAGAAACAGCTCCAAGATCAGCAGTGACTTTCAGTCACTAAATTCAATGACCATTTTTCTGTCTTGATCTTTAATCTCTCTGAAGTGTTTAATCCTGTTGACTACCCTCTTCCCTCATCTTCAGGGTCACTGCACTCTCTCCCTCTCTTCTCATTCCTCCTGTCTCTCTTGCTGTCTCCTCATCCAATCAGTTACCACTTTCTTTTGATTCTACTCCAACAGTGTGTCTCACTAACTCCTCTCTTCTACTTCTGACACAGTTCAGGCCTTCATCTCTTTAGGCAGTTTTCGTAGCTGCTTCACCAGTATTCCAGCATCCAGTCTTCTCAATATTGTCCTCATAATCTCTCTAACGTACTGTTCTGATCACACCACCCTCCTTCCAGGACTTCACTACTCCCTGCTTACTAAAATGTAAACTCCTCATTCTACCATTAAAGGCCCTTTCCAGACTCAGCTTACATTGCTCCCTTCGTTGGGAAATAGAGTGTTGTGGAAACAACACTAACCTTGGAAGCAGGAGGCCTGGGTTCTGGGTTCAGGTCTCAGCTCTGCTGCTTACTAGCTGATGTGCCCATAGAATATAGACAAATTTCTCGAAGAAACTAAAGCTTAATTTCCTCATGTATAAAATGGAGATGATGTTACTTACTCCAGATTGTAAGATTGTTGTGAAGAAAGCACTTCACAAACCATAAGGTTTTAGTAAATGGGAGCTTTCATTATTATCACTATTTATGCGTTCTATACTCTAGCAAAACTACATTAATCTTGTCCTGTGCTTCAGGAAGTGTAGATTTTGTAAGTCAAAACCAACAGTTCAAAGCAAGTTCCCTGAAATGTCACTTTTTTTCCCAGTGATAGAAGTGGTTGTTATTTGTATTACTTCTCAATGTGCAAATCTTAAATAATTTGTTTATTGGTAGGACCAAGATATTTTAGAACTGAATTTCCCTGTGCTCTTTCCTTTCTCCCCACCCCATTTATACACTCTCTTCTGTTTCTATAAATAGAAATTTGGTAATCCAGAAGGTTGCAGATGTCAGAATATATAGATCTTTGAAACTGATTTGCTTAACCCTTGGGACCATTGTATATAAAGAAATACTGTGGGAATTTTTTGCTAGTTGATCTGCACACCATTTATTGTACTCAAAGAATGTACTAGATTTCTAGTTACAGAGCTAGGTTCTTAAAGGTTATATTGGAAGTTTTTGCTGTGTTGTTGTTGAGGAAATTTTTTTTTTACTTTTTTTCTTTTATTTTCAACTTAAATACAAAATAAGAAAAGAAAAAAGCACGTCTTGTGCACAGCAGAACATAAGAGAAGATTCAAAATATATAGCAATAAATTTCCGTTTCAAGAAAGCCTATGTAGTAAATACTACACTTTGTGTTGAGAGCTGTCCATCTTTTCTTTGCTTCCCTGTAAGTTTTCTTTCGTTCTCTGCTGTGCAGAGGAAATATTTTTTGAAGTACATCTTGACATTATAACAAATATTTTTTCTTTGCTCATTCTGCCCCCCACTTCACAGGCGGTTTGTGTGGAATTTCTTTCGATTGGAGAATGAACATCTAAACAACTGTGGTGAATTTCGTGCTGTGCGAGACATCTCTGTGGCTCCCATGAATGCAGATGATCAAACGCTGCTGGAGCAGATGATGGACCAGGAGGAGGGCGTGCGGAACCGCCAGAAGATCAGGACGTGGAAGTACAGCCAGGGCCTGACGCTGCGCCGACCTTACCTGACTCAGTATGTATTGTGTCTGTTTTCGGGGTGCTTGCTTCTTTTCAGTTCTAGCAGAAAGTAACATTTAGACTAGAAAAATGAGATCTCACAAGCAACTTCTGTATAGGAGGACCCAGGAGTCTTGGTGCAGTTTTAAAATGTTAAAGCTTAAAACTAAGGCTTTGGGAACACTATCTATTACATATAATGAAATCTCATTGCATCATAACCCTCCTAATTAAAACTTTAGCATATACTCACTTTCCCTCTACAACACCCTCAAATAGCAGCTATCTAGCTACCTTTTGAAAGCCTTTAACTGGTGGTGAATTCACTGCCTTCTGAGGCAATTCAGTTAACTTTTACCTGACCTGGAATCTACTTTTGAGCTACCTTTGTTGTGGGGAAAAGAAACTAAACTAATTAAAATTACTCACTAATTATTTATTTGAAAAGTTGAACTGTTTTCCGATACCCTTACAACACATATTTGTACATAAACGTTACCTTGCTAATCAAAATCGGAGAATCTTAGCTTTGGAAAGGATATCAAAGGTCCATTAATCCAGCTGTATATGAACAGGAATACCCCCTTTAGACACCCCCAAATTGTAGTCATCTAGCTGCCTTTCGAAGGCCTTCTCAGTGAATTCACTGCCTTGAGGCAGTCATTTTTAGGAAGCATTCTTTTTTTTTTTTTTTTTGGTGAGGCAATTGGGGTTAAGTGACTTGCCCAGAGTCACACAGCTAGTAAGTATCAAGTGTCTGAGGCCAGATTTGATCTGAGGTTCTCCTGACTCCAAGGCCAGAGCTCTATCCACTGCACCACAGCTGCCCCAAGCATTCTTTTTTTAAAGTAAGTTTATATTGATGTCTTCTGTTGTTTACATTCTCGTGGTTTGTCCCCAGTATCCATCCCCCTGCCCCTTCCAGAGACCTTTCTCACATAACAAATAGTATTTATAGAGGGGGGAAAAAAACACGGTCCAACTGATCAATACATTTTAAAAAGTCTGAAAACATACAGGGTGTAACACCTGTGGACCTCCTGCCTCTGAAGGGATGGGTTGAGGGTGTCCTCTCATATCTCTTCAGGTATCATTAATTCTTAATAAGTTCTTCCTTATGCTCAGCCAAAATGTGTCTTTTTCTAGATTCCACTAGTGGATTCTCTAAAACTCAATCAAAACAAGTCGAACTCTTCTTTGCCGTGCCAGCCCTTTCAGTATTTGAAGACAGCTCTCATGGCCTACCTAGAGTCCTCTTTTCTCTGAGCTAAACATTCTGAGCTCCTTCAACAGCTTCTCATATGTTGTCGTTTTGTGTCTCCTCAGTATCCTCCTTTAGATACTTTTGCCAACGTCCTTCCAAAAATGTGGTACCTGGAACAAAGTGATCTAAGTGTAAATACTTCAAATGAGGCTCAGTCAGCATAGAGGTTTGAAATAACTGTTGTAGTACATGTACTTGAGATAAGACAAGAAAATAACCCCCCAAAACCCCTTGTTTCCTGTCTAGTAGCAGTGAAGCACTCATTTAATGTCTGATAAAGTCATTCATGATATTCTTTTGGACAAAATGATAAGCACTGGGCTGAGTAATAGTAGTTAGGTACATTTAGGACTAATCATTTGGAACCAAAAGTGATCCTAATAGGGCCATTTCAAATTAATGGAAACTCTCTAGTGCAGTGCCCCTAGGGATCTATGCTTAGGCCTACTTGATTCAGTATTTTTATCAATGACTTAGATAAAAACATTTAACCTGAGGGATTAACTGAAGGGCAATATCAAGTCCCAAAAATAGCTTGACAGGCTTGAATGACAGATGAAATCTATTAAAATAAGATTTAATAGGGATAAAAAAAAAGTTATCATTGCTTTAAAAAATTCTGCTGTAGAAGTGAAAGTGGCACAGTAAGCACCAGACTATGTGAGGAAAAAACTGATTGGAGGTTTTAGTTCAATATAAGACTTAATAGCTGAAAAAGAGAGTGCAGTCTTTGGCTGCATTAATAAAGGCACAGTGTCTAGAACTAGAGAGATGATTGTCCTGTTGTATCCTGGTCAGACCACGTCTGCAGGAGGACATTAACAAACTAGAATTAGACCGGAGAAGGTGACCAGTATCATAAGAAGATGGGAGGGCTTTTATGGCATAGGAGGATCCATTGAAAGAATTGTGGACTTTTCTTCTTAAACAGAGATCTTAGGAGATTATAATAGCTTTCCTCAAGTATTTAAAGGGGCTGTCATGTACAGGAGGGATCTTAGCCTGTTCTGTGATTGTAGCCTGATGCAGGAAAGACTTTCCAACAAGAACTGCTTTAAAATGGAGCGAGCTCCCACAGGAGATGGCAGGTAGGCTTCCCTTCCCACTTGAGGCGTAGGCTGAATGACCATGTGTCAGAGGTGCAATAGAAAGGATTCTTGTTCAGCTTCTGCTAGTTCTTCCAACTCCATAATTCATTGTCTGTGATTCTAGAGAATCAGTATGAATTTTTAGTGAGCCACATAAGCATGGTGTAACCATTTGGCTTGATACTGCTTTTGCCACCTAAGAATAGTAACAGAGAAAGTACACAGTGTTTGTACACCCAGTGTGTCGTTATGAGCAGAGAAGGTGTTTAAGGAGATGAAAGACAGTGGAATATAAGATTGGGACTGTACTGTTTAAATGGGGCTGCTAGGTGGCTCAGTGGGTATCGTGCCAAGCCTGGCTTTGGGACGCTGGGCAGATCATTTCACCCTGTTTGCCTCAGCTACCTCCTCTGTAAAATGAACTGGAGAAGGAAATGGCAAACCACTCCAGTGTCTCTGCCAAGAAGACCCCAAGTGGGTTCACAAAGAATTGGACATGACAGAAACGACTCAGCAACAACGAAGCAAGTGTTGACCGTGGAGTGTAGAGTGGACAGAGACTCAAGTGTGGTATGAATGAGTTGAGTGAACTTGAACTTGGAAAGGAAGATCTTCCCGTGATCAAGATGACTCTCCATAGATATGAAAGTGCAGGGACATTCCATTGCCAGAAGAGTCATAGTTCCCGAGCTTGGGAAGGCTTGATACATACCTATATATGATACATACATTCCTGGTTGGAATGAAATATACTGAAATATTGCTAGAGTTCAGCCTACTACAACATGGAATTCAGTATGTGTTCTCATTCATGATAATTTATTACTGAAAATGCCAGGAAACTTCATTCAAATGCTCTAACATCTGTAATCCTGTCATGCAGCATGAACTCTGAGGATTCTGCAGAAGTTCAGAAACACTTAAGAGGCAGTTCTTGATTGCTCCTGGTAAGGAGGAGGAGGATGGTAAAAAAAAATGTAGAGGATCAAAAAGTCACTAACAATTGGCTATACATTTCACACTCTGAAACTCTTCTCTCTGACAATAGGTTCCTACCCTATCTTAGCCACCCTTTCAGTCTTACTAAACATGTCCAATGTAAACATTGCCCTCATCAAGACTACTACTTCCTGGACCTGTTCCTGTGTGTCTAGTCCTTCTGGTTTCACTTTCTTCCTTTACCAGGCCGAACCCCTGTTGTCATTCATTTCAGTGATGTATTCACTAAAATTAGAATCTTTTACACTTTAACTTTTTCCTATATCTATCTAGGTATCAATCAACCAGCATTTCTTAAGCACCTACTAAATGCCAGGGCCAGTTAGACACTGAGGGGAAGAAGAAAATAGGGAAAAAAAAAAGTAGTCCCTGCCCTCAGGGAACTTATATTCTATCATAAAGACAACAGGTACATTTATAAGTAATAGAATAAATAAAAAATTATAAGGTAGTTAGGAAGGAAGGGCAGTAGGAAGAACAATAGGAAAGGATTCTTGTAGAGGCCCTTAAGCTTGTCTTAAAGGGAATGAGAAATTTTATGAGGCAAAATTGAAGAAAGTGCATTCCAGGTATGGGGAATAACCAAAGATTTTTTTTTTTTTTTAGTGAGGCAATCAGAGTTAAGTGACTTGCCCAAGGTCACACAGCTAGTACGTGTCAAGTGTTTGGTTTGAGGCCGGATTTGAACTCAGGTCCTCCTGACTTCAGGGCCGGTGCTCTATCCACTGCGCCACCTAGCTGCCCCAACCGAGGACATTTTAACAAGAGATTGAGTACCAGGTATGAGGAAGAGAAAGAAGGTCAGTTTAGGTGGATCATTGAGTATAAGAAGATTAATGTATAATGAGGCTGGAAAGACAGATAGGGAATAGGTTGTGAAAGGCTATAATCTTTAAACAGAAATTTATAGTAGAGGCAGTTATCAGGTAGCCTCTGAAGTTTGAGTATGAGAGTGACATGGTCAGATCATTGAAGTTTGACATTGTCAGACTGGGCTTGAGCGAAGAAGAAGGATTGGAGAGGGGAAAGAGACAAGGCAGGGAACCAAATTAGGAGTCCATTGCCATTGTCCAGGCAAGTCAAGATCAGGGCTTGAACTAAAGTAGAGAGGGTCGCAAGTAGGGTAAGGTAAGAGATGATGTAGAGATGGAAATCACAAGATTTCGCTACCTTCCCCGTCTTCATCTTCTCCATTTCCAGGCTCTGCCACCTGTTACTAAAGAAAGGCATGAAACCTTATTGATTGAGTCCACTACACATCCCTGCTATTTAACCGCAGAAAGGTCTTCATTGCTATTCTTCGGTCTTTTTTATCCTTCTTATCCTTACATTCCCCAAAGGAGCCACTGTCAGTAAACCTTTCCCACTTTCTACCTCAACCTCCCTCATTCTCAGCAGGTGACATCACTTCCTCTAAGACCTTGTTCTGTCAGATATCTCTTAATCTCTTTTGTCTTCACTCTCCGTTTCAGTGGCTCTTTTTCTTCTGCCTACAAACAGATTTCTTCTGCCCTAAAAAAACAACAAAACACAAAAAAGGCTTCCTTTCTTTGTTACTTCCCCTGTCCCTTGTATTTTTTCTTTCACTGCCAAATTTTTTAAGTGACTTTCACTTGATGCCCTATTTCCTAAGCACAGTGACCTTCAACCCCCTATTGTCTCACT